GCTGCTCCAGCCCTGCTCTGACGCCGCCTGGCTGCTCACCTTCAGGATCTCCAGCACTTCATCTGCCTTCTTCTGGGAAACGATGGCATCATCATAGAAGCGGCTCAGCTGCCGCTGGAGCCAAAAGGCGTCGATGTCCCGCGGATGCAGATCCTTCTTCTTTGAGCTCATCAATTCACCCGATGCCACAAGCTTGAAAAAGCAGACCAACAAAACAACTCATAACAATGTCACCTTCTTCCATTAAAAACAGACACGAGGCATTCGTGCTGCAAAATGAGCATCTCAGGGCTCCCTCTGCCCACAGGCAGAACGGGGAACAGCAAACGTCACACATCCCAAACCCTCCCGTGTGACTTCGGGCCTCCACAGCTGCTTTCCAGCCCTGCCTGAGCTCAGCTCCGTCCACAAACCAAAAGGATCCCAGCCCACACGACCCCAAATCGCGTTCCACATCCTGCTCACGTTGGCTGACAGGGTGCAGCGGACGACGGCTTCGTCTCCTTCCATGTCGTCATCAGAGGCCTCGTCCCGCACCTCGCCATAGATGTCCTCATCGCCTTCCTGTGGGAACACGACTTCCAGTAAGCGGCTTTGGCACACATCAGAGAGAAGCTTCTCCTTGGCAGAAACGAACCGTCTGGCAGCTCGTGCCTGAAGGGAAACCATTGAGCTCGTGCTTTTAACACCAATGTATTCCTTTAGCTCGGATAAAGGGCCGCGTGGTCAAATTATTTCCACTCCTTGGATCTCAGAGTGACTGCAAGAGGCTCCCGTGTGCCTCTTTGATTCTCTCAGCCCCCCACAGAAACGATTCCACACAGCCCTTCTACGAGACGCTTCCAAACGATGCATTTCAGCTCATCCCTTCCTCCTGTCAGGTCTGCCCCAGCAGATCTAAATACCACCATCTGCTTCCCGTCATCCTGACTCACGATAAGCCTCGGATTAGCAAGATAATCAACAAATCCTCCCAAGCCAGGAAAGCAGCATCTGAAATAATCCCTCCTCTCCTTCCTGGCACAGATATCCCAGCCTGAGTAAAACACATCAAACCCGGCGGCTGCTGAGCAGCTGAAAGCCAGGAGACGTCAGAGTGAGCTGCAGCGCCTTCTCACCTCCTCATCCGACTCAAACTGCACGTTCACGCCGTACGTCTCATCAATGTTGTCATCTGCGAGGGAGAGCGGAACCCATTAAGCAGAAAACCTGCAGCCCATACGCAGGGCTCACAGATCCCCCACCTCCGCACGTCCAAGAGATGAAATGAACGTCGTTCGGAGCCTTGAAAACCGTCCAAACGTTTCCCAGCTCCTCTGTGTGAAAGCACGATGCCTGCAAGCAGGCTGCACAAGGCGCCCCTGCTGCTGCGTGCCTCCTGCCCACCCCTCTCCCAAAACTGCAGCTGTGACCTCACGCGCCCGCACCCACGGCCTGAATCCCCTCTCACCGCCGCCATCGGTGCCCCTACCCATGTTCTGAATCTCCTTGTCGCCACCGTAATCCGTGATCTTCTTGCCCAGGTTCACCAGCACGTGGTAACGGGTGTCGTCGGTCTGGCCCAGCAGCAGATCGATCTCCTTGCGCCTCTCCTTATCGCGCAGCTTCTCGTTCTTCAGCACCGCCAGCACCTCGTCGGCAGCCCCGCACAGAATGTCTCGAGGCTGGGGAACGAGCAGCAGCCGCGCCACCAGCAGGAGGTCAGCAGGGGGCGCAGCTCGTGCCACACAGCGGCCCTCGCCATCGTGGCGCCGCCGCCGCCACGCTGTGCCCCCATCCTCACCTGGTCCCCGAGGGCGGCCTGGATGAAGCTCAGCAACACCTCGTAGGTCTCCCGGGTCTCCTTGGTTTTGGGTTTGTAGATGATCCCCACCATCTCGTCGATGCCCTCAGACAGCAGGGTGTAACCCTTCATCTTGTTGATGTCGTGCCTGTCCTCGTCGCGCTTCCTTCTCCTGCAAAGAGGCAGCAGCCATGGCAGCGCCCAAGCAGGGAATTCTGCAGCCCGTGCTGCTGCAGGACAAAGCGCAGCCCTTCTGTTTGCCCACCCCACTGTTTGCCCCCCCTGCTGCCACAGGAGCCCAGCCCCCAAACCTACAGCTTTATAACAAACCCCAGAAGTATTTCCACACCTCAGAGCCCAACCCCATCCCACAGGCAGAGCTGGGAGGCGCCGCTCTGCCCAGCTTTGCTGCCCCAGCTTTGCTGCCCCAGCTTTGCTGCCCCAG